CGCTTAGCTTACCTCATTCTTGACAAAAAGAGCAAAACAAGGGTTTTTTGGGTTAAAGAGAAGAGCGATCGCGGCCGCGAGAGGGCACCGCGACCCCGAGGCTGCTCCGCTGCGCCGGTACCGGCGGCTCACCCCGGGTCCAGTCTGTTCCTAGCTCCTGCTAAAAACCCAGTTCGAGTTCCTCGGCATTGACAGGCTCCCCGAGTGTTTGCTCTGTGGCCTTTTTAGGCGATGTGCTCGGAGACTTTATTTAACTCGCTCTATGTCATCGCGTCCCCGGCGGTTGCATCAGTGGCTTTAAAATTAGGCGGGTTTGAGCCGAGCACGTTTGAAATGCCCACATCAGCCTGATCGTGTGAAGAAGCATTAAGTGATGTGCCTGATGTGCTTGAGAGCTCCTCTTTGAGCTGTTCAGAGAGCCTTGTGACTTATGATAAGATTCAAGGCTTGATTCCTTTGAAGTGATCAAAATTAGTCATTTCCTCCCCTCCCTCCGGGTTGCTGCTGCTGCTGGAAGCTCTGCCCTGTCGTGCAGGTAGTCCTGCAGCACAGCCTTCTGTGATGCTCTTTTGCTCTTCAATCACAGTGCCACATGCTTGGATTCCTTTATTGGGTCTTACTTTTTGCCCATAAACTTTTATATTTCAGGACTTCATCCAAGTGACCAGTTCCCATCAGGCCTCTAGACAACTGACTATTGTGCATGCTAAAAAATGAGCATTTGGGAGCCGTCAGCTGTCCTGCACATGTGCAGGCCACATGCACAGCACCAGTGCAGCGAGTCCTGTGCTTCTCAGACTTGTCACACTTGCTGCACAGCGTGTGCCTGTGCACAACTGCCCAGGAAGTCCCCAACAAGGGACACAGTGACGTTATGATGACACACCATGTAATTTATCTTGAAATTAACCGTAAACACTTGTGCTTGCGTATTTTGCGAAGAATGTGTTGGAAGTTCAAAATTGTCTAGAAAAGGGATTTTTTAATTTTTTTTTTTTTACTTACCTCTTCCCCAGGCAGCTGCTGGGATGGTCTGGTTCTGCCTACCCTGCTCCCAGAACTCAGCTTTCCTAGGCTGGTGTGGAGGGTGCTGTTGTAAGGTGGAGGTACTGATGATGTTGATGGTGGATTCTTGAGAGAAGGCACCTACAGAAGCACTTAGGTGGCAGCACTGCTTGAATGTAAATATACTCTGAACATCTGCTTAATAAATGTCATCCTGTGCTAAGGGGAAAGAAGCAAAACTACTTCTTTTCTTCTTTACTTGAAAACAAATATGTATTAGTCAGTTTTCAGAGATGTTCTAAGTAGTGAACTACTAATTTACTAAGAGAAACTATATTTCTTTGTACTATATTTTTTATTGCAGGCAAGATTTAAATCCCTGCTGAGCAGACAGCACACCTTTGATAGTAATCTTGTTTGTAGGGAGTTTTACATATATGGAAATGTTGGTAGTGTCTAATACTCAAGGAAATAGTATAGATAAAAGCTATCTAGCTTGAGATGGCTCCTAAAAATAACTTGCTAAATTTGTATTTATATTAGGAAGAAACACTTTATATATTCAAATTATCTGATAATTTGTAGTTTTGTGCAGTTTTGTGTTACACAGGCTGTGCTGACCTCTGCCAATGCCCTAGAAGGAGAATGAAGAGTGACTTGTTTGCCAGCTTGTGGCAATTGCTGTGAGCCAGAAGCCATAGGATGTGTGTAAAGGAAAACCAACAGAGTTAACACTCTGCTCCACGTTGTGTGTCTTGAGATTATGGGGCCATCTCCCTTTAAGAGCTGTTTTAACTGGAATGCAGAAAAATGTGCCTCTTGGTTTTTATAAAAATAAAATATATTTCAAGGATAGGCTTGGCTTTTGGCTCATCAATTTTTCTGCCACTGAATTAGGTTCACTTGTCTTTTAGGGAAATTTTATTGTGAAGGATTACCACTGAAGCATGGAATATGTCAACTGCTTTGGATGACAGTGTTGAAGAGGTTTTAGAGATATTGTTTTTTAGAATTTGAAATCCATCACAGATAAACAGTTACCAAAAATTCCATCAGGCTATGATGTCTGCATCACCTACAATCTTATTTACTGAGCATCCAACTGCTTCTGTACCCCATCCTGAGGCGAGGGGTGTGTGCCTCTCCTTAGGGCTGTCTTCAGAGCTGGGAAGATGATTGCTAGTGAACCAGAACAGGAAAAGAGCCTTTCCTTGGAATGAGGTTGCCTGGCTGCCAAGGAAAGTTAGGTTCCAACAAAAGTATTTCCACTGTCAGAACGAGCTAAGGGCGTACACCATCAGGCTGTGTGGAGGAGAATTCAGAGCTTTCCGAGTACTTTGTCTTCTTAAGCAGTGTAATTTCTGTCTTGCCTGGTCTGAAGCAGCTGTTCCTTGTTCAAGAGCTGATCTCTTGTAGGCTCACACTTGAGGGAGGGTGCTTGCCTCAGAATAGATAGTGCTGAGTGTTGGTGACATGCCTGGAGCTGCCTGTGTGCTTTTGGCCTCTCGAGAGGGAGCAGGAGAGGGGCACGGCTCAGCCCCTCTGGTTATCACTGCTGCTTTGGGCACTGCGAGCCTGGAGAGGGCCCTGTGGCTTTGCCCCTCTCTTCTGTTCATGCTGGGGGTCAAAGTCATTCTCCTCTGCCTTTTGACCCAGGAAAGGAGAGGATAGTTTGGGGATCCAGGCAGGGTGATGCACACTTTCCGAAGCTTTTGGTTTCTGTGGATTTGGGAGAGATGAGGGGGATAGTGCTTTCTAATCTCTTTTGAAGCAGCATAAAGCAGCCCCTTGAAGGGGTGACAGCCGAGTCCCTCTGGGCATTTTCAAACCTTGTGTCACTTGCCACTGAGCCTTCTTGGGCTGGATACTGCTCTAAAGGGCCACTTCACTGAGCTTTGGGTTCTCATGTAAGGAGTTCAATCTCAAGGCTTGATTAAGGTGGTTTCTATTAAAAAAATACAATATTTCATGCTAATAATTCACTATTATATGAGAAAAACAACTTTCTTGCTTTTTCAGACAAAGACCAGGAGAACTGAAGGTTAACTTGTGGTCTTGCTTATGTTCTTTCACAAATTTGCCTCCACAGGGAAACCCTCCAGTGTCAAATCTTTGCTTTTTACAGAAGTAGCTGCTTTGCTGGCTGTGAAGGAGGACACTTCACTGGTTTGGGCAAAAGCAGCTATCCAGGAGGGCAGGAATGACTCGGGTAATTCCAAACTTCAGTAATCAAAACATGAAGAAGACATTGCCAGAAATGAACAGGTTATTTAGGATGTGCTACTGCCAACTGGAAGACCGTATGTATAGCTTGTGGTGAACAACTTAAAGTGCTGTTTTTCCTACTAGCCCTTCACTTAAAATACTAAATATTTGTAGAGAAAAGATGAAGGCACACAACCTGAGTCCTAATGCAACAGCCATGTCAGATCTTTGGAGTGTTGTGAGGGTTTTGTGGTAATGCTGGCCATGATCCTTGTTGAAAACTTCCCTACCCACAGCATCAGAGCCTACACTCCATAGTCATGGACCACAGGTCTGTGATGCCGATAAAGAAAATATTATCTGTGTTCCCAAGTAAGTTAGTCATAAACCTGTCTTTTGAACTATTTTTAAGTCTGTGAAATAAGAAACAAGGTTTATTGAAACAGGCAGATGTTCATGATGTGCATACACCAGCTTTATTTTGGGTCAGGAGGTCACTGTGTTTGGTGTACTACAGGGAGACCCTTCCTTATAAGGGGGCAAGACTTACCTCAAAAAAAAAAGCCTCGTGGCAGGATTTTCCCAGTGCTCTAGGACTTTTCAGGGTGTGCTGCCTTTTTTGGCTCTCTTTAGGTAAAATATCTGAGCCTTAAACCGCACCAAATTGGAACAGAATGACCACGTGCAAGGACCCTGCTTTTGTCTTATTAAGCAAATTTTTCCAAGTTTCAAACTTTTGGTGCTGAACTTCAGCGCTCGAAGCCCAGCAGCGACCCCAGTCCCGGTGCGGGAGGCGCTGGGGCGGCGGCGGGACAAGGACGGTGCCGATGTCCGGGGAGCGGAGCCCGGGTGTCCCCGGTGATGTGCGGGATGGAGCAGAGCCCGGGTGTCCCCGGTGATGTCCGGGGAGCGGAGCCCGGGTGTCCCGGTGATGTGCGGGATGGAGCAGAGCCCGGGTGTCCCCGGTGCTGTGCGGGATGGAGCAGAGCCCGGGTGT